TTAAATATCAGTGGTTTAGATCTCTGCCCATCTTTCAAAAAACTTCATGGTAAAGACAACCAGTCTTTAATTTATTCTGGCTGTCAAAACTTTTAAATAATTACACCATGATTGTTTAAATATATGGAATTTCCAGTATATGTCAGAATTCATTATCCCTCAGGTATTTTGTATTCAAATATCAAATTCATATGTAGTAAAACAGTAATTTACTTAATTCTACAGAAGGCTTAAATTCCCTCATATCTTTCAGAACTTCTTTGATGCAGGAACATGCTGGAAATATATAGAAAAAAAAATTACACATAGCAGAACCAGCCAGGCCCATTTTTTCCAGGCATATTTCATTATTTATGCATCTTCTATTTGCATATTCTCAGAAATACATAGATATGGTTTGTCTTAGGCTATTTGTCTGATGTTAGTTAATGTTGTTATTTATACACATTTTTTTCCTCAAATCAGTACAGAAATTGGTCCACAAATCAGTATTGAAAATTAAGAAATTAAAAAGTACCTAAATGTTCATTGAACACTCTGTAAAAGCATGCAATCAGCTGTGCATGATCCACACGCTTTCCTCGCAATCTTGTTGTGTGTAAAGAGGTTACCAAACGTATGCCTGGTTTTAAACCCATTATTGTTTGGCTATACATTTTCTTAAAGGGTATAGTGATCAAAAACATCCATTCAGTAAGTTAGTCATTCTGAAATAACCTTGAAGTACCATTTTCAAGATACACTGACACATAGGACTTCAGATGACAAGTCAAAGCCAGTTTAAGTGTTCAATTATACAAAAATGTTCTGTAACTAGATGTTCTGACTTTCAGTACATCTCCACTGCAGCTAGATGTCCTGACTTTCAGTACATCTCCACTGCAGCTAGATGTCCTGACTTTCAGTACATCTCCACTACAGCTAAATGTCCTGACGTTCAGTACATCTCCACCACAGCTAGATGTTCTGACATTCAGTACATCTCCACCACAGCTAGATGTCCTGACGTTCAGTACATCTCCACTACAGCTAGATGTCCTGACGTTCAGTACATCTCCACCACAGCTAGATGTCCTGACGTTCAGTACATCTCCACTAACGCTGGATGTTCTGACCTTCAGCACATCTCAGCTAATTCAGCTATGACTTCTGTAGCAAACACTGCTCTTGGTTGCAACCATCTTCATAATTAATTTTCTCCTTATGCTGTTGTGTGAATCTCTCTGGGTTAAGAATTTGCACACATCACCAAAAGGTCCTGGGTTTTCATCCTGCGACCCGCACAATGATCATATGATAGCTGGTTCCTTGAGTTACCCCAATTGCTTTGGTAATGCAGATTCATTCTCACTTCTGTATTCCCTTGGGTGAAACTATCTGGGAAATAAATGCATTCCTCATTGTTCTTACCACTGAAACTATTACTCACTGAGGCTACCTATTAAGATCAATTACATGTTTATATGTCGATGTGTGGGAGCTCTTCTGTTCATTATGCTCTTTATAATCGGCAAGCTAATGTCTTTCTTTTGATGATTTTCGCATGCTGCAGTGATGGGGGAAATGGGGCTTTGAAACGCAGTAATGGTGGGATTACCGTGTGCTGTCAATCACCGCCTGGCCTGACGCGACACGGACCGATATAGTAACCAGTAAGAAGGAACACTTATCTTTCCCTCTGTCTGAAATGACTCAGATCTTCTGACGAATTTTCATATTTGTGTAGTACTGCTTTGTGCCAAAACACGTCTGCACGCTTAAACATATGTCTGTGTAGGTTCTCATTCATCCAGGACATGATAATCTTTCGGGCTTGAACAAATCTTGTACTGGAACCGCATCCGGGACAACCCCGCTAGAGGATAAATACCTGGAACTCCCCATCAGACTTTTAGAACTGAAGAAGACTTTCAGATGAGAGGTGAAATGTCTTCAAGAAATTGAAGAAGAAGTCCTGTTGCCTTCAATTCACGCCCCTGTGAATACACTTAAGCAATATTTCCATGAACTGTTTTTTGCTATTTCGCTACATACACATGGACAAAATTATCTACTAATGGGAAGTAACAATCTATTAATAAATATTGATCTGTATTAATTATTTAATACTAATTACTGTTTTAATTAGTTGGCTATCCCCTACCTCCTTACCGAACGGTTTTGTGCGATCAGTTAAGTCAGGCTTAGATGTTGATGCGCTGCTATGGTTCGTTAGATAAATCCATGGTTAAGTGTGTTATTGTAGAGGTGGTGATTTACGTAGTCTTGATTATGATTATAATGTGAGGCATTAATCTTGGTCAGTTGCACCGTAATTGCCCACTGTACATGGAAACGACCCCGAGTCACATAAAGGTTAGGGGGATGCAAGGAAACAGATGCTGACTGAGACTTTGTGGCTGCGAGGCAAATTGTGTTTGCTAGCATGTCAAATTGATGCATTTAAAGGGTTTTATTCTGCCCCTGAGCAGCCAAAAGCACATGCTTTCTTTCCATGATGGAGGGGGAAAAAAGCAAACAGGGCATTCAGATGAAGACGCAGTTTTTGTTGAAAGGTTTTGATTAACTTTGTAGCAGCTTCTGTTATGGAACTTCTTTAATTCATGCATGTGAAAGTCTCATGTGATTTATGTTATTTTTATACATTTTTTTTCACCTTAGTTGATTTGACCCTTATGTAAAATTAGATTTAGGGAACGACAGACATCATGGCCGCACGTGCTTATGTGAGGCTGACTTCATTAAATCACCAGACGTGCAATTTTACTCCCCCAGACTCCATACTTGTGCCTCTACTAGTGACAAACCCTTGAATCTCGTGAGCAAAGGTCACTGTGTATAAATTATCCTTGATACCGTCGAGGCTTCCTGAGTCTCTAAGGCAGAGTAAAATAATGATTATGTTCCTCTACGTCCGTCCCAATCCAAACTGGAAAACATCCACATGGCGGAATAACACCTCATTAGTTTTTCTTTAGAACTGCCTGAAAACCAATGAGCAAACTTTCACCCAAGAGTTGCAGATGTGGATTTATCCGGTTAAAAAAACAGTTAGGCTGCTGATTGTAAGTCTGATAAACCCCAGTTAAAACATTTTACCCCCAACAGAGGCTCTGGCTTGGAATTATCACTTTGCGGTAAAAATCTATAAGTAGCGCAGTAGCACAAAGGAATGCCGATACCTGGTCTCTCATGCACTAAATAGTTAATCAGCTGTTAAGCTTTCCTACCTACAGTATATAGCTATTGGAAAACAAAGGAGATGGAGTCCTGCTACACAGAGTGAACCAACAAACAAACCTTGTGCTAGAACCACGTTTTGGTGTAAGTTTTTCCAACACAGAAGGCATGCTGGATATGTTTATTGCCCCTGCTTAGGCTATTCGACGACTATCACACCGATCAGAGGGGAGTGTTCAGGCAGTAAATCTGACTCAAATAGGATGTTAAATGGACACACGAACCAAAAACCTCTGATAAAAAATATACCAGATGTCAAATGTCACTTTGCACGATTATCCGTTTAGGTGGTGATAACAAACGTGGATTCCAAAAGCACATCCAAATAATTACAAATAATTGGACTATTTGTAAAAGAGTTTAAGTAGCAGAAGAAACATATTATATTTCGTAAACATATTCGACATACAACGCGATGCACATAATTATAAAACAAATGACGGAAACGATAACATCTTGCAAGTAAGTAGGCCTGATGCCATACAGTGACACATTTTGCGTTTAACAGTCGATCTTACCTGACGATACGATTTTTAAAACTGTTTTGTAATAATTTTCATTATTTTCTATTAGTAGCCTAATTGCTCTTATTTTGCTTCTACCAGGTTTCTGACAGAAGGGTCGAAACGATTATAAAGTGTGTGTATGAGGTGGAGGGGGGTGAGGCAGATTGCTCCACATGTGTTCTTTGAAGAGCTGGAACAAGACGAAAAACCGCAATCAACGTGCCCTAAACGTGCGTATTTTCTAAACAAACCGAAAAACAAAACGCATGCATGTTGTGCAACCCAATGATAAATCGACATTTTGTGTCAATTTCTAGTCGATAATGCTTTGTTCCGTATATTGGGAAATTTATTTTAATGGACCCACTACGAGTCGATATAAGGTATGAAGGCAAATAAGGGCAGGCTCATGGAAATGACCAGCTCCGTTAAGTTCGCGTTGATGTGAGGCACGCATGTCATCGGTTCACGGCTGATCACGGATGTAACGGGCAAAAAAATATATCAAAATAATAATAATAACAATTTTAAAAACTTGGCGGAGAAGTTAGAATAGGCTATCTCCTACTACCAAAATTCCTGACATCCGCAAATGAGTCTCTGTAACAGACGCACTTCGCATATGGAGGGAAACTTACCACGGAAAAATGTCCACCGAAAACTGCTAATCTGCATTTAGTTAAACCCGCAAGCTTCCTCCGTTCTGCATATGCAAAACACGGTGACAAACAGCATTAAAACGCGTCTTACTTAAAGGGTCAAGGCGATATAAATAGAGTATAGAGTTACCCTGAATATTGATTAAAACGGAGATCCCCCTCAAACTCAGTGTCACGCAAAGGAAATCAGACTAAATGTTGATAGCAACTTAATTGAATAGGAGAGTTTTTTTCCGACGGGTCTTTCTTCTGAGCGCCGGAGAGCCATTGAAACGCCTTGAGACGCCATATCTCTCTGAGAGTGATTTTAATGGGACAACACCTGTGAACACCTTTAGCTCCAGTGCCGTAATTTCCGCGATTTAATTTTACCTCTTAGCAAGAAATCAAAAGAAACGCAGTTTACACAAACAGTGGGTAATTATCGGGTGCATTTTCACTGAAATGAATTACACACAACCAGTAAGTTCTTTTTCTAAGTAAACATAAAATTGAAATTAAACGTAAATGCTAAAATTTACATATCCAGTGCATTCCCGATATAATCGTTGCATTTAATGATGTATACAGAGCTTAACAAACGAACAACACTTACCTTCAAGCCATAAGATTCAACCTATTCTGGCAATGATCTTCTGTTAAATCCACAACTGTCCGGACTTCATCGCCGTAAGTCAGCACATCCTAAGTTGCCCATTTCCTTGTCACCAAAGAGTTTTCTTTCCCCACAACAGTAAAACTTAAGGTTATCGCATTAGCTGAATCAATGTCCTGGATAACCGTATTTAATGTACAAACAGCCTTTGAATAATCAGTCCCAACTGTTCACACGTGTCTCTGTTATCTTGTGTGATTTATGGATGTGGATAGAAAATAGGAAAAGACATTTCTGCCTAGTTTTTTCTCCTACTGATGCGTATGAGTGGGCGCTGCACACTCTTCTGCTGCCAAAAAGCAAAATATCTTCTTTTATGGTAGCCGTGCGCTCCTTGTTGGAGGCTCGATCAGCACCAGCTAAGGGACAGCTCCCGCAGGACTGACGCTGGAAAAAATAAGGCTCTGGAGGGGTGGGAGGGACAGGACTAACCTTCCGAGAGCAAAGGGTTAGTGGTAACAACGTGCTTTTTATTTTTTCCCCCCGAGATGGAAACAGCATATTCACCCACACTCTTATTGTACTGCAAACGTGTAGGCTCTCTGATAGGAATGTATATGTAGTGACACTTAAACAATCCTTTTCAGGTTTCGCCCAGTTAAATCAGCCACATTTGTATGTAAATCTCTATGCAATGGTTTCGAACAAGCTTTAATACCGTTGTGCATTTGTGTTGTTGTTGTTTGTTATTGCCGTTGTTGCTATTTTATGCTTAAATCCTAATGGTAATTATTATTACCATAAGTCATATTTATTTTGCGAGTGAACAAGATTCAAAGTTCAGTAAACCATAACATCATCAATTAAACACTCTCAGCGCCGCCGAAGTCGATAATACCGCGGTGTTTATATATCATTCTCTTTTCTTTTCCGTTTTGCTTGCCTGCATCTTGTCTTGTCCTTGATTTTTACAGAAGTCTCTCTGCCAAGTCCCCCCCCCCCCACCATGTTTGATGATTCACGGGACCGCAAATGTCGCGCCGTTTGGCTGCAGCCTTCAGTTCCGCAGCGTGTACTAACACACATCTCGTTTAAGGCGCGGGACGCGGGAGACTATAGCACCGCCTTGTTTACTAGCTGGGGATCTGGAAAAAAAGTCAAAAAACAAGCTTGGCTGTACTTTTATTTTTTCGTTAGTACTCCTAGATCATCATCATCATCACAAAGACAGCCCAGCGGATCACTGGCACCCAGCTTCCATCACTGGAAGAAATCCATCGCACCCGGTGCAGCCACAGAGCTGAAAAAATAATCAAGGACCCAACCCACCCTGGACACAAACTTTTTACACCCCTGCCATCTGGTAAACGGTACAGAACCCAGTACGCTCGCATAACCCGGCTGAGGAACAGTTCTTACCCCGCATCCATCACACTTCTGAACTTACAGAACTGATCTCGAACATTCTGATGCAATACCCCAACATCTACAATATCCATATTTATGTGCAATCAGACCACTTGATAAACTCTACCTCTCTGAACCCACCCACCAACTTACCAGCACCATATTGTGTATATATATACATAGATATAGATATATGTCCTTGTGCTCAGTATTGTGCGGCATGCTGACTGTACGTAACACTTGTGCCTTATACATCAAACGGAGCTCAAGGTCTGCCTTCCATATGTATGCGGCAATCTGTATATTCCACATACCAAGGCTTCCTTGCACACTTTAAAGCATTGGTGTTCAAATTTTTAGTATATATATTTTTTTTGATATGGCCGCTCTAGGGTTTATATACTTGTCCTCATTGACCTCCTACCCCCACCCCCTCACAGACACACAAACAGAAACCCCCAAAAAACTTTCAGCATCAGTAGGAAGGATAGGGCTATTTTCAGGGGTGGGTCTGGGGGGGAGGGGGACAGTGCTCCCATAACAACATGCATGGCCCCCTCCATTGCCCCCCTAAATATATATGCTATTTGGGTCTGAAATAAATGTTTTATTCTCATTATTAGTATTGCTAATGTTGCAATTTTAAAATTGGTCTGTCCCCACCTCAACCCCCCCCCCCCATACAATTCCCCAGTTCTTTCCTCCTCAGCTATGCCCCTGCAATTCCACAGTTTGAATCCCTCCAATCAAAAGACATGCAGTTGGGCGAATGTGTCTCTCTGACTTGTCCTTAATTTCCACGTTTGTCCAGGTTTATGGAAAGGACTGGTATCCCATCCAGGGTCCTCATCTGCTTTGTGCCCTGTGACACCTGATCTTGTACAGGATAAGAAGTTGGAAGATGGGCCAATGGATTCTCCTGAAAAATTCCTAAACAAATATTTGCTATATCCATTGGCCAAATTATATTCGATCCTATTCCACACCTCTTTCATCCTCGTATTCATTCATCCACACTCTGCCTACTTTTAATCTCCCAGGTTCAGAGCATAACTATATTCATTACACGGGTCAGTTTGAGAAAAAGTGTTTACTAGGCAACAAAATAAGAAAACCTATTCTGGAGAGGGTGTTCTGTCACTATGCACTGATTATGCATTGAAAATCTTCACGGATCTCTGGGACGATGTTGTAAGCTCATTTTATCTCTGTGAAGCTTGTATTACAGGAACAATTCTGGCTTTGAAATTCTCAGGGGGGAGATCCTGTTTCAGTCCCGGGATGGACAGGCGACTGGGACTGCTCGTTGGTCGGTGGCTCACTGGGAAGGAGGGAAAATTATTCCCCTCTGGAGTTAAATATATTCGGGGGGTCTGGGGGCAGGAATTCTCCAGCCTGACTTCATTTCCCAGTCCGTTCCTGTTTCAGTCTGACAAATTTTTATTGCAGGACATTCCATGCAGAAATTTGGAAAGGTGATTTTTATGAGGGCAAGACTACAGCTACAGGGCAAATGTACAACATGCCTAATTAATTTTTATAGGCAAAGTTGAAAAAAAGACACAGGGTAGCTGTAATAATGACGAACAATCATTTAGGATAAAACAATGTTAACTATATTTCCGAAGCAGCAGAGGCCTGAATCATTTATTCTCCTTCAACTAATATCTTTTAGGCCTAAAAATCTAATTTACTAGTTCTGGTAATATTATGAGAACCAATTCCATCTAACCTTTGGCCAGTCATGATTTAACATAAATACATTAGGCAAAGTGTGGACTGGAAACCATGCAATCACCCTTAATAGGAGTCTTCTGGTTACCCAAGAGGCGAATGAATTTACAACATGTTTTCCTGTAGCTGTATTAGAAAAGACTGGAGGGTGTAACTTCATAATATTTTAAGCAGTGCTAACAACATTTGAAATCTAATTTTTATAAAATGACTATACCATGGGTTCTTAACTCATCTGTTGGAAAGTGTGACTGAGCACTGCCTCCACATTATTCAGATGCGCAGATGTTCGATACATTAAGCAAAAACGAAAGCTGGTGATTAAGCATTGGCAAGGGCGACTCCGTGCAGTAAATTACAATGCAAATCAGTCGAAACAACTTCCTGTAACACCAGTAATGGAAGCTGTAGCTCGGGGTTAAAGTTAGCGCTGTGCTACAGTAAGTATGCTATTACTTAGTTAGCAGCAATCAGTTACAGTTAAGTCCATATATATTTGGACACTGACAAAAGTTTTACTATTTTACTGAAATATATTCCAATTGAAGTTATACAATGGGCATGGACCTAAAATGCAGACTGTCAGATCCACGTTCATATTGGATGAAGGGTTTATGAGTTTCAGCTCGTTAACATGTGCCACCCTGTTTTTAAAGGGGCCAAAAGTAATTGGACTATTCACTTAAAAAAACAGCGATTCCAATTTGTCCAGGAAGACCAGGTCTCCATAACTCATCACTGGCAAGTAGAATGGGCCCTCAGTGGAGATGCTTGGACCAGGAAGCTTACATCACCAGACACGTTCAGTGTTTCAAATTTCACCTTGTATAGCAAAACCAGTGAAAAACTACTTCTGGTAGAAGACTTTTCAATATGTATTCATATATTTACATTATAATTACATTGATATATAGACATTATATAATTTATGTGTTATAATTATATGTAATGTAATTAATATGTTATGAATTATATCTCACTGAAATATAATCCGCTTGGGGCATTAAGCAATACTTCAACAACTGTGATGGATGCTTCTAAAATAACTTTTTTTATTTGACACGCTGACATTCCTGAAAATCTGTCAGTCAGCAGCTGAAAATTCTTTGGTGTTTGACTCTTCAAAACATTGCTTATGACCCCGGAACCCCAGAGGAAACATTCCAGCTCTGAATGCTGTTCGTAGAACCTGTAGTACCACTGGGGAAATGTGGCAGGTGATCCAGCAGCTAAGGATCTGCACTAATGACCTGAAACTTGATGTTTTTTTCTTGCGCCATTGAATGCAACACTTAATCTAAAGTCCCATTAAATTCTGTTCTGTATAACTGAAAATGTCAGTTTATAATTTTTTAGCTTTCTGATAAGAGCAACTGTCAAGAAAATAAACAATTTCCCCATATATGAATCAACACATCAGGTCTGTAGGAATATTTTCTAATATATAATTCAAATGTATGTTTATGTGAAAATAATGATGTCTGGCTTCTCATAGTCATTTTCTATTATTCATTTTCAGTAGTTGTCTGTTTAAATAAAAACCAAGGATAGTTTGACCAAAAAACTTTTGACTAAAACAGACGAAACTTTGATCCCATTTCCAGCTCAGAAATCTACAATTTAAAACTATTCATAATCATATATTCAGGACACACCTCTGGACTTCCAACTAATAAGGCCCGTAAATTATTAATTTCTCACCCAATCAGACGTTGCACATAAGAAAACACCACATTTGGATCCCAGTAATCGAAGGGGATTATTTGATGTAAATAAGTACTGGAATTCTTCAAATGTAAACAGCTTTAATTGGGGCTGACATTGGAGACATCGTGGGAAGCCTCCTATCAGTTTAATTATGCATTTCTTGACAACCTGAACAAAGCAGGTGAAGTTTGGAAGGTTTTGCCGTAATGAACAGACTTTTTCTAGGAGGCATCTAATAAGCTCAGTCCTGTTCCTGCTTGGTGATCACACTGCTTTTGAACACGGCATAAATCACCCAATTTCATTCTAATTTACAGTTTTGGATCTTGCAGGTTGGGTGTTTTTTTTTTAAATTTTACCCCAGTTTTTCCACATGCGATTGAAATGTCGCATCATTGATTTGTGTGTTATCAATCATAATACCCCACAAGCTTTTTTGTCCAGACAAGCAGTTCACATGTTTGCATTCATGAAGAAGTTTCTAACTCAATGAAGATGATAAAATAACTGTTTCAGGTGCATTGGGTAATGGCCTGACCCTAGGCTATGTATATGTCTGTATATGTCTCTAGAGGAAAGA